ACCCAGCATGACTGGCTGGGGGATTTTGGGAGTTGAAGTCCACTCATCTTAAAGTGGCCAAGTTTGGACAACACTGTGCTAAGTACAAACTAGGATATGCTCAGGAGTTGAGCCTTCTCCACCAGCACATATGGGCATGGGTCACAAGGCTGTATATCTAAACCTTTAGGTCAGTAGGCTTTCAATCCCAAAGAGAAAAAGGAAACAAAACTTTCATATAAATCCAGATCAAAAGGACCTCAAAAGAACAGAGAAAGTGGGCATAAACCAAACCGCAAGGAAAACAAGTGATAACTTTTTATGAGGGGAAAAGCACAGGGGAAAAAAAAGGAGCAAAGACACTTAGCACAACTAGAAGGCTTTAAGCTACGTTAAAGACCCAAACGCAAAGCATGGCCACAGAACTGCATCAGACTGACCAGCAGGAACAGAGTCACCTGGGGATTGCGCATAGAAGAGGCCAAAGTGGAGCAAGCACGTGAAGAGAGTCATGTGCGTCAGAAAGTGGATCGTAATTCAGATCTCCAAAGCCAACCATCTCCTTGCCTGACGACATGAGAGTTTTGTGGTGGAACGCTCCGTTTGGCTTCCACTAGATCAAAGATCCATGTAGCCCCCAAATCTCCACAATTGTGGTATAATTTGTTCATTCAGACTTCCTTTATGCATTAGCAGGACTCATGGGAAACTCGAATAATGTTTGGTGACAAAGATCTGAAGAAATTCACAATTCCCCCTCGCTCCCTGCTCTTTGCCTTCAATGCCTATTTCATAGCGGGCAGCTTAACTGCCTGCCCAGACAGGTTGGATCTGTGCCTTTTTCTCTGTTGACAGAATCAGCAGTTGAAAGGTGAAATGTTGGCCATTTCTCTGTTGTTGCTGCTGTTGTTGTTTTTTCAATGGGGAAATTGATCAAAGTTCTGCCAAGGTTCCCCTTCGAGACCAAGGGACTGGAAGCAGTACAATCCTGTGGCGGTTGCTGATTTTTTAACCAGTCCACAGAAGAAGTCCATGGAAGGGAAAGCAGGAGGCACTTGTTTTCCTGGCAGTGGCATCTGCAGGGGAGGAGACAAAATCAACTAGGTGGTAGATGGAGTGTCACACTGCAAGCCCTGCCCTCTTGCAACATGCATGTGATGTCAACACATGCACAAAAAGGAGAAGGCCTGCCTTGCAGTGCCCCATCTGCCATCTTGCTGATTTTGATCTCACTCCCCCCCCCCCAAAATCACCATTTCCTGGCATGGATGGGAGGGGAAAAGAAGCAGGGGACTCCACCAGTCGGGGGCCACGTTAACTGTGATCCAAACAGATCACCAGGCCAGCACCTGACCAAGATGGAGGCAGGGATTGAAATCTAGAAAAGGCATTTCTGATTTTTGAGCTTCCCTCCCAGCAATCTTCTACTGTACTTCAAGTCTGGGTCTGTTAATCAAATTGCAAAATATTCTACTATTTTTTCTGTGTTTTTAAGATTGGGAAGTCTTTCTCGCCCAGTCACTGATCATGTCCATCTTTCCATCTATTCAACTCTTTCTCCTTCTACTTTACTGCAGAAGTCCTTGAGGTCCATGAACTTCTAGAAGCAATTTCTTAAAGCCGTTTCTTCGGAAATGTTCGGGTGAATGAAATCCAATCATGACATCACTCTTTAGGCTGTGTAGTAAGCATTCATGTGCTCATGGCAGGTAGTATCCATCAAAGGTCAGCTCTAGCAGCTGGAGCTGTATATTTGGGGGCAAGCTCCTTAATAAGGTTCACAAAGTCTGTTTTTTCAGCACAAGCTCTGCAAATTTCTCCCCAGCTATCCAGGATCTTTCTCAGCTCAGCCACTCTCATCTTGGATAGATCTACTGAAGTTAAATCAAGTTGTCTTTCTGTAAAAGCAGATAATCCAAGTCAGATATCTACATCTATATCTGTATACCAAACCAGCCTATAACAACGGAGCCATCCTCCATGGTGTTTCCTCAAAATTTGACATTTATTTCTGAACATAAAAGTTTTACTAAGTTTTCATGGTGCATTTCAGCTAATGAGGTTACCTAACCTGGTAATGGAAGCAACCAAGTCAGAGGACACCAAGAACCTATCAGGACTCTCAGCTGGTGATCAGTTTGGAGGCCTGGTGGGTACAGGGGAAGCAGATAGCTGGGATGATCCAGACTTTCTCCCTGTTCCAAATAGGATGGCCCCAGATAACCCAGGGACTGGAGGGAGGGGGGGGGGGGTTGCATGAGCCTACAGTGACCAATCCCTCCCTCCCAGAAGTCATCTAATTGCAACACTGATGCAATTGGTTGGAGGACATTGACTGAGGACCCAGCAGAAAAAAAGGAGTTGGAAGATGCTTGTGTCATCCTTAGGGTCAAGTGGAAAAGGCTGCACAGATCCTGTTTTCTTCTTTTAATTCATTGGCACAGCTTCTAATTCTTTTTGTATATCTTTTGGCATTATGGGGAAGAAAGCTTTCTGGTCACCATTCTTTGACTAGTACACATCTTTATAAACTTTTATCCTTTGGTCATTCCATTTCTATGTTTTGAATGCAGGAAGCCTCAAATGATGTGGTGTCTGCTAATATGGAAATAATTAATAATATGACTCTCTACACACACAGCCACACAAATTGTTCTAATTCTCTTTTTCTTTTTTGTGTGCAGTTTGGTTAACATTCTTAATGTGAAATGCCAAATCCTGTGGAAAACTTCAGATCCACTCAAGCAGTCTTGGATTCCCGCCTTAAAGTTCATTGCGTTTATGTTTCTGCACTGAAAATGTGAGCGTGGCTAATATTTGGACCCCAGTCTGTGTGCAGCTGTTTAGAATTTTGCTAATACATAAGTAGAATCACTAATCTCTCTCTCTCTCTCTCTCTCTCTCTCTCTCTCTCACACACACACACACACACACACACACACACACATTAAAAAAAT